GGGAGACATCTCACAAAGGAAATCCGTAGGTGATTCTGGCTTTTCCTTCTTTTTAGATCAATACAAGAATGAAATATGCTACAGTTGATCTAAGTCAAAAAGCAAAGAAAGGCATGAAATATGTGCGAGACATTAAGTTAATGCTTGTGGCTTTAAAGGCAACGGTCTTCTGCATATGATTATAAAACAAGAACCAAAAGAGCTCTGGAAGAAGATACAACAACAACAATGCCTCAGTCCCAAGCAAGTTGGGGTCAGCTATATGAATCCTCACTGATCATGTTACTCCAACTAAACTTATCTCAAGCTAATATTGTATGCAAACACAGAGATTCCGAATAAGTTGCTCAGACACAAGTGCGGGTGTCCGGCACGGGTGCTGATATAAAGGTCGGATCCTTCGAGATGTAAATCCTAAGATTCGGGGATACGGCTAAAAATAATTCAAAAAAATAAAAATATTAAAATATTGAAAAAATTGTGGAATAAAGTGTGGATTTATTTTTTATTCTCGAGTTGTAGATAAGTAAGGGGATTGATTTACTAGATAAGGTGTGATATTTTCTTTAAATTTACCTTATTTTTTGTTCTGATTTCGGGAATCAAATTGTATCTACTCTCGAATTTTTTCGTCCGTCGTGGTCAAAGTACCCAACATTATTTAACCAAATACGGTACGGATCCCATACCTACACCCATACTAATATCGTGTCAACACGGGTGCGGCACCTAAACTGTCGTGTCGGAGCAATTTAGGATTCCAGTGTGCAACAAATGCGAAAAGGGAATCACTAAAATTCTTAAAACATTTTACTGAATGAAGAATGTGCTAGATAAATGTCATGTTCATAGAGATAAAACACATTTTTTGTAAATTGACATTATTGTTCGAAAATAAGTTACTCTAAAAATACAAAAATCCACTGGAAAGGTTTGAATTGTTTCACGTTTAAAGGATTTTTTTTAACTTCTAAAAAAGTGATGTATACCATCCAGGGAGTAGAGGGATGGCTCAGATCCCTCTACCCTCGACCAAAGGACCTAGTTTGAGCCCTCTACTCCCAAAATAAAAAAGTGCAGTGGAAAGGTTTGAATTGTTTCATGTTTGACGGCATCTTCTGTATCTCTAAAAAGCGTGATGTATACCACCAAGGGATGTAGTGGGATGGATCAAATCCCTCCACCCTTAGCTAGAAGGGTTCGAGCCATAGAAACGGGATTTTCCTGGTAAGGAGCGCTTCCCCTTAAATGGATCCTATGTGGCGTGAATTTGGATTAGCTAGGGCAGTGAGTTTCTGATACCAGATAGTTAAACCAAAGAAAAGATAGCATGATTTATTACCTGATATCCTTGAAGACCGACTTTCTCTAAGAGGCTTGTGCATGCAGAGACCTCGTCCGTACTGTCATAAATTCGTAGGAAAAAATCAGAAATCATTGACAATCTGACCAAATATTACTAGATAAAATAGGTACCTTCCATCTAAAACTTCAGGCGAGAGGACGCCAAAGCAATCTAAAAATTCATAAAAGGGTTTTCGAGTAGGATATCCGGCACAGCTTATTCTTATTGCTTCCATCACTCCCTACAGAAAAAAAGCCAGTGAGCAAAATTTCAATTCACAGGTACGCTACCAATATGAAAAAAATTCAAGACATTTCCTTACCCCACAGCACAGCTGTTGCAGAACATTGTGATTCTCGAAGATAGAGGGCTTTAGCAGATTATTCGGCTTCACACATCGAATATAATGGGGTTCGGTTGTATTCAGAGCTTCAAGCAAAGACTGCAATTGTTGCTGCAAAGTGTATAAAGGAACATATGATGATTCAATATGTATGCTCTCTGTAATGGCATGGATGAAAAGAGGAGCAAAATATGTTAGACAAAAAGATGCAAACATGCCTTGAAGCTAGAGCCAATAGAAGAAAACTTTGACTGTTTTGAGGATTCCTCCACTGATATTGGAAACAAACCAGATACAAAAGAACATTTTGAAGCTCTCAAGAGCGCCTGGTGTTCAGCAACAACATAGTCTTTGTTCTTATCCAGAAACAATTCAGTTTGATACGTGACCTGTAACAAAAGAACATGTACAATTATCCATGGCTTCAGAATAAATAAAAATGAGAAATGCACATTTTTAGCCGCTCCCAAAAATAATAGCCGACAAAATGTATATTTTTTGTATATATGTGTATTATATACATATTTTATACACTTTTTGGCTAGCCAATGCAATTAGTTTCGGCCGACCGGTCAAATTATATTTTGCTCAATAAAAATTGAAGATCTAAGCACAAAAATTTCTAAGGTAAATGAAAAGACTTACATCACCAGCGTAATGGCAAATAGTGAAGTCAGAACGAGCCAACTTGGGCTTGCTGAATCGTTTGTGGTCTTTAAAAGTCTGATAAAGTTTCTGAGCAAATGTTTCATGAGTTGATCTTGGAAACATACTGCAAAAGCAAAACCGCAGCAGTCTGAATACCATAAGCCATAAGAATTGAGCACAAATAAGGATCAATAAAGATTCTTGGAAACGATAATGGATAAGTCAATATAACAGAACAATCAATAGCTTTTTCATTAAGCAGCTTACCAAGCTTCATCAAGAAGTGCTATAATACCTCCTGGTTTCTGAGCAAATAAAAAATTGTCAAAATACGTTGCGGGAGAAACAAAAGACAGAATTCAATCTTGGTCCATAAATGAGAAAACATGTAATTTAGACAAAGAAATCAACATCACCACAAAAAGGAGGTTTATATGGAACTTTTGTAGCAGATATTTATAGGAAACAAAGACTGGATTCAAGCCAACTTATATAAAAGCATGATTTCGGCCTTCGGTGCTAGATAAAGTTTCTGGCTTTTTTTTGCTGAAACTGCATCTTCTTTGCAAATCTTAGCCTTCTGCGACCTCTTTTTATTGTTTTTCTTCATTGATCTCTAAGTCTTGTGGTAAATGTTATTACTGTTATCAACAGAAAACTCATCTTTAAAAGAACTTCACCTAAACTTTATCAGCTGCAACTTTCAACTTATATCCAAGATAACGCACATGTAACTGAAAATATACTTAGAGAAGACAACATATTCTTAGGGAAACAAGCTAATGATAGAAAAGAAAGGGATTTTACAAAGGAAATGGAGGAGAGTAAGAAAAGAATTGAATGGACATATAGCATCACAGTGCACAACGAACACCTTTTCTTGGGCTAATTACATTTTTGTTCCGCCCAAAAAAATAATAGCCGGCAAATGTATACGTTTTGTATATTAAGTAAAAATATACATATAATATGTCTTATCCAACCTTTGCTGGATAAGATGCTAGGCAAAATCAAGCACTGGACAGCTAAATTCCTATCATATGCAGGAAGGTTACAATTGATCAAAAGTGTGTTGTTTGCTATTCAATCATTTTGGTCCCAAATCTTTCCTCTGCCTAAGAAGATCATTCAAGGAATTGAGACAATTTGTACAAGGTTTCTATGGACAGGTGAAACTGAGAGCAGGGCTAAAGCTTTAGTAGCGTGGAAGCAATTGTGTTGGCCAAAATCTACAGGGGGTTTGAACATAACAGATATCTTAATATAGAATAGAGTTGCTTTGATCAAACATCTATGGAATCTAAACAAGAAGAAGGACCGCTTGTGGATACAATGGATTCACACGTACTATATCAAACAACAGGTAGTATGGAATGTGAATGTTAAACAGGCCTCTTGGCTCACTCAGAAAATATTAGGTGCTGCTAAATAGTTGAATGAGGCAAATATAGGAGTAGAAGAAGTGATAAATATGCAGGAATACTCCATCAGGCTCGTATATGATACACTCTGAGGTGAGATACCTAAAGTGGAATAGAAGAGACTAATTTGTAATAATATCAGTAGCCCAAAATGGATTTTCATCTTGTACTTGGCAATACTTAGAAGACTATACACGAGAGACAGATTACTGGGCTGAGGTATAGCAGTTTGTTCAGACTGCTCGTTATGTGGAAGAGTAACAGAAAGCCATGATCATCTTTTCTTCAAGTGCAATTATTCAACAATAATATGAAGGAAGCTACTACAATGGCTAGGAATAACAAGAGATGTGCAGGAGTGGACTGCTGAGATTTAATGGGCTGTAAGACATGCAATAGGGAAGAAGCAAATATGTGTAATCTATAGAATGTTGCTGGCTTGTATTGTGTACTACATTTGGCGGGAAAGAAATTGGAGAACATTTCGAGGAACACAAAGGAGTTGCGAGGAGCTGATCAGAGTGATAGTTCAAGAGGTGTACTGTCAAGGAAGTTTGAATTCTAAGATAGTTAAAAAACTGCAAGAGTTAAATTTTTATCCATAGATATTGTAGTTGAGTAGTCACGTAGAAATGAGCGCACTAGATTTGCGGCTGCATGTCCAAATCTACGTGAGTTTTGATAGGGTTTTTTGCTATACTTGTAAATATTTCCCTGGTAATAATAAAATTAACTACCGAAAAAATATACATATCATTCATATAATCAGTGCATATGTTTTGCATATTTGGGCTACTGGCTGCAATTATTTGGGTCGCGGGGCCAAAAATGAAAAAATCCCTGTTTTTTTTACTGGGTCAAATCGACTGAAAATAGATCCTGAGAAGTCATTTACAAGTAAACAACTGTAAACACATAAAAGAAATCTAAGTGTAAACCTTTTCTATGAGATCCAGAATATCTTGATTATCAATGAACTCAATGTAGCTCCAGTCAATTTCCTCTTTTGTATACTCTTCTTGTTCCATTTTGAAAACATGCTGAAAAAACACATAAAACAGGTATGATAAAGATGGGTGCATAGTAAATGATTGTTCAATAAACTCAAAGATGAGGAAATAACCAGAACCTGATTGAAGTGCTGTTGAAGTTTCTCATTTGTCAAATTGATACAAAATTGTTCAAAGCTGCAGAAACTAAGAGCATCAGAAATACGATTCATATCTGCAGAAATAAAAAGCATCAAAAGTATGAAACAACCTACAAAGCCGAGTCCCTGACTAGTCAGCTTTCAGAATAAAAAACTGATACCAAATACTACAAAATTAAAAAGCCGTGGAGATTTCCACAAATTTCAATCCTGTTGCTGACAAAAAAGAAATTATTACCTAACAACGTGACCCTAAGTGCCCATACGACATACTTCCTCCGTCCCAATTTAATTGTGATACTTTTTCCATTTTAGTCTGTCCCAAAAGAATGATACCTTTCTACATTTAGAAACAATTTAACTTTAAGCTTTCCGTTTTACCCTTAATGAGATGATTTTTAGACGAACAAATATATATGGCTTGTTTTAAACCACAAGTTTCAAAAGTTTTTCTTTCTTTCTTAAACTCCGGGCCGAGGCAAACAACATCACATAAATTGGGACGGAGGGAGTAGTTTTATAAATTTTGTATCAGACTTAGAAGCAAATGAGATTCAAAGTATTTCGACTGCAACATAAAAGAATTTGACTGCTTGTGGATATGCTAAGGCAATTTTTATATACAGTTCATTCCAGAAGACTGAATCTCACATACAATCCAAAACAAAAGGGCATACCGGTCAAGCACCTGTTAGTCTTAAAACTCTCAAATCCATAAATATCCAGCACACCAATCAAAGATTTTGAATTTGGATCTTGACCAATTGAACTATTAATCTTATCCACTAGCCTGAAATCAAAAATTGAAGGGCTCATGTAAAAAGTACAAGTCATTATCGTTTCATCAATTTTGTAATGAAGTAGTAAATGACTCAATTGCACAGAAACTTAAAGCTTACCAATCGAACAACTTTGAGTATACTATTTTTTGCCAAAGCATCTCTACTGATGGCTGCTGCTTCTGGATCCAGCAATTTCGTGATGGTTTCACCCCGAGTTACAATAACACACTTGCAAAGCGAATCCTCAAGAGCCTTCATGTCACACCTAGAAAATACTAAAGTTCAAAAAAGCTGCACTTTTTCTCTTTGAGAATAATCTAGCTTAGTAATTCAGAATGGTACTCCCTCTGTCCGAATTTATGTGTCAAACTTTCGTTTTTAGTCTGTCCCAAAAGAATGTCATGCTTCCTTATTTAGAAACAATTTAACTTTGAATTTACTACTTTACCTTTGATGATTTATAGGCACACAAATATATATGGTTTGTTTTAGACCACAAGTTTCAAGTCTTCTTTTCTTTCTTAAACTCTGTACCAGTCAAACACTGCCACATAAATTGAGACGGGGGAGTAATTGACTTCAGAATAAGCTGAACTCCTCACTTACATTAACAGCTCGGCAGCAGCCCCTAGATGAAACCAAGATCTTTCACCTTTTGGCACTGAGGAGTCTGTCTCCTTCCCTTTTGTAAATTCAACGTTTCCAAGATTGAGAATTGCAGCCACTACACGAAATATTGCATCCTGGGAAACACAAGAGATAGCTAAGAAACCAACAACAACAACTATGCCTCAGTACCAAACAAGTTGGGTTCAGTGACATGAATCCTCATTTTTTTTCTATACGCACAACTTATATCATCATCATTTTCAAAATAAGGAAATTACACCCTTGAGCATGTTTTTCTGTCTCTGCATTTTCAAACATACCTGCTCTTCCGAACTTATTCCGACAATATCCATTGCCCTTCTTGTATCTAGGTACTCTTTGGAATCGTCAACCCCATCTAACTCATAGCAATTTGACTGATTTAGGTAACGAAATGAC